AATCTTGCTGGCCTTAATAAATCTTTACCCTAAGCACGAATAAGGGATTGCCGTCGCGGTTGCCAGGCAACTGTGCAATGGGATTGTTGGTTCCAGACCAGTTTACGCCCCAGGGCGGATGCTGTTCATCATTCCGAAATGATACGGAATGATTTAATTTTTTTTCTTTATATTTGTTATGTTTTTATTTTCCAGACCAGTTTACGCGCCATGGCGGATGCTGTTCATTCCGAAATGATAGGGAATGATACAATTTTTTTCTTTATACTGTATTTGTTATATTTTTATGATGTAAGCCGCCTAGAGTGGTCGAAATGACCAGATAGGCGGGGTATAAATAAAATAAATAAATAAATAAATAAATAAATACGGGCACAAATCAAACTGCTGGTCCCAGGTGGAGGAAACAATCAGCTGCTGAGTGGCAAATAAGCGCATCTCTGAATTGCATTAATTCCAAGGATCGGTCCTAGTTGGGACAAACAGTTGGATACAGGGTGTCAATGCGACCATATCTATGTAATCCCATCCTCCTGTAGTTTTTGTGGTGGAAAGGAATGGAGGTGGGGCATTTTGTACCGAACGACATACTTCTATAGTTGCACTGGATTTTAATACACTGTTTTTCAAAAATGTGTTTTTGTGGTGGAGTTCCTCCATTTTTTGTTGTTGTTTATCGTTATTTTACCACTCCACTCTATAGTTGCACTGGATTTTAATACACTGTTTTTCAAAAATGTCTTTTTGTGGTGGAGTTCCTCCATTTTTGTTGTTTATCGTTATTTTACCACTCCACTTCCTATTTGTAGCTTTGTATCTGATGAACATATCTGGAATGTATACAGATAATTTTGTGGTAGCTTGGTTGGCCTAATAAAAGCATTCCGTTAATTAGAATTTGGGAATTCTCCTCTCCTGAGATTGCACTGGTAGGACTGAAATGCAATCAAGGCTAAAGTGCACTCTGGAGTATGGGAAGGTTAAATACATTCTGGCTGGTGTGAACATTCCAGTAAGATTGCAAATACAGTATCATTAACCACTTGGGAAGACTTTCAGAAATTAGTTCTTCTTTTGATTCCTGGGCTCCCATTCCTCACATACAGTGAGACTGATTGCGCACAAATCAGACAAGCTGTGGGAGAAGTTTAGAAAAACTCTTCCTACCAGTGACATCATTACCCTTATGTGGGCATGTGCAAAACAGGGGTTTGGCCATTATAATGCAGTCAAAACCATGCACATTTTTGTGGTTTTTCATTTATCTGAATAAAGCAACCCCAATCTGAATATTGGATGTTACAATGACAAATGACTTAAATGAGTTGCTGTGATTCTATAAACTAAGCTTAAGAAACAACTTCTGCTTTGAACAACCAGCTTCACCTTTTGCAAATTTCTTAAATTTGAAGGCAGTGTTGTTCTGACAAAAGAGAAATAGTACTTCTACTCTTATGTCTGAGGAAGTGGACTTCTCCACAGAAACTCACATCAAAATATAGTGGTCTTGAAAATGGCACAACATTTTTGTCTAATTTTTTTAATTTTCTTTGTTTTTGCCTGATATAAATATATTGTGACACTGACACTTCAAAGTTGCTCCTTCTGAAAGTTTTAATGTCGTTCTACATGCCTATGCTGAATTTCATAGCAGAGTATTCCTTGAGATGGCTCACATGATGTCCATAATGAAAAACATGCTAAAAACATTGTAACTAAAAAGAAGTCTAAAACATTATACAGCCCAGCAGATCAAGCATAACGAATTGCAAAATTGCATATCATTACAATACTGTGAGGCCTGAGATAGCACCCCATGAGCTGCTGAGATGATCAGAGGTCCTTTTTCAAGGTTTCGGGGAGATGGCTGAACCTTAGAAGTACCCTTGCCAACCACCTTGTTCCTCTAGAAATATCTGTCCTTAGTACCCAGAGCTTCTGGGGGTGGGTGGGATTGGCTGGCTACTTTGCATCAGCGTTCAACCCAGGGGAAATCTACTAGGGCTGGCATAAAATATTTCTTTTCCATTGCTTGTGAGTAGAAATGAATCAATCAAAAGAATAATGCTTCCCCCCCTTCTATCCTACTGACAGGCCTTTGGTTATCTCAGAGCTCTCTGAGATAACCTTCAGGATTGCCTTATAAATCATCAAACAGCAACAGTTCAAAATAGCTTCCAAAGGTATTGCAGAATTAGCCTGTTGCAACAAAAAAGAACAAAGAATCGTACCTTAAAGCATAAAATGCTTTATTTACCATTAAAATATTAGAAAAATATATTTCAAATACTGTGCTTTTTCATGGCCTGTAGCTGACATCATGCATCTTCAGCTCACAGGTGTTTATACTGAATTAAACTTGGTAGTTCAAAACAGTAAATATACAAGTAAACATTAAGTTAGTGTAGAGTAAAACAAGAAGATTTCAGGGGTAATTTGAAAACTAGGGACAATGGAACCAATATATATCCCTTGGAAAATAGTTCCAGAAATAAGAGGCTATTATCAAAATTGCTCTGTCTCTTGTGCTCCCCAGTTTCATTGGCATACTTATTGTTTTTAGCTTTAAATATTGGTGCTCCCCAGTTTCATTGGTATACTTATTGTTTTTAGCTTTAAATATTTTATTTTGATGATGTAAGTCATTATGAGTCCTTCTTAAGGAAAGTGGTAAGGTAAAAATATTTAAATAAAAATAAATAAATGGTGGGCTTGTGAACACAGCCTCCGTGTGTTTCTGTGCAGGTACAGGCAGTTCATCAGATAAGCTCATACCAAACAATTTAGACCAGTAAGAGTCAATACCAGCACTTTAAATTGATATCAGAAACCAAAAAGCAATCAATACACCACGTACCATGTAGGCGTAACAAATCTGAAATGCCTGGCCCCAGTTAACAATCATCTGGGCAGCCACACTCTGAACCTGAACTTTTTCGACCATCTTTAAGAGGAGTACTGCAAATAGTTCATTACAGTAATGGTAGCCAGAGTTCAGGAGTTTGGTTCCTATTGTGCCGTAGAAGATCCAGCCTGTATGGCCCTGAGCAAGTTACATAGTCCCAGAAAGCCCTCAAGAAAATAGTAAAACTCTTCTGAGTACTCTGTACCTAGAAAACCCTGGAAAGGTCCCCATAAGTTGGAATTGACCTGATGGTGTGTAATTATTATTAATATGCTACAAAGAGTAGCGCAAATGCCACAGGCTTTTTCTTATTTTTCCCACCTGCAGAATAAGACAGCTATATGATCTGCTGCAATCAAGTTCGCTATTTATGTACAACATTTTTGTGCCATCCCTTTAAAAGCACACCAGAGCAACTGTTAAAACAATGTAATGCCCTATAAATAAATATAAGCTGGTCATCAGACAGTTAAAAACCAACACCACCATGGATGAAAAGACACTAAAACGTTGAAACCAGGTGGATAATGCCACAAAAATCCTGAGCGAAGAAATAAGTGTTCTTGCCTTCCTTGGTGCTGAAAAGACAATACAGTAATTCTGTGTCCGGCAAGTGCGGCGTTTCGTTTGCAGATATTACGACTGAAATTGCACTCTCTGGTTCGTCCAACAGCTCTCCTCACTTCACAGGGAGACTCAAAGCCACAGAGCTTGGAAAGATACCTTGTTTTACTACAGTTCCCAGAATCCCCTAGTTGAACGCTGCGGGATTCTGGGAGTTGTAACGCCAAAAAAAAAACCCAACAAAAAAACCTAGAGAATCCAAATTCTGGAAAAGCAAGCTAACCTCATTCCTTTCCCTTCTGTCCAGTAAATTCCAAAGGTTTCTGGAACGAACCCACCCATTCACCCTCCGAGGCCTCTGATCCCTTTAAAATCGGTTTGGGAATCCCTGACTGTTCCGAGGAGATGGACAAAGGACGGGCGGGTGCCGCGCGTTCGGGAACGATTCCCAAGGAAGGCAGGATTCCGGGCTGCGGGGCTCGAGCCGGCCGCGCGAGGGAGCTCCAGACACCGTCGGACAAACGCGCCGGGGCTCTCCCCTTTCCCAGTCATATGACTGGGCGGCTTCCATTAACGCCCTGCCTGGGAAAAGAGGGAGGGGCGGGCAGGCGGGCGCAAGCGAGCAAGAACCGCGAAAAGGGTATTTAAGTGAAGGCTTCTCAGCGGCGCCGCCGCTCCGGATGGGGGGGGGGAGGCCCAGCTGGCTTTCAGAGTGGCTGCTCCTGTCGGTGCTGTGGGAGCCCCCCATTGCTGGCGGGGGCGGCGGCGGCTCCTCCTGTAGTGGTGGCCGAGCGCTTTGTCGTCGGCTCCTCACAAGCTGAGGGAGAAAAGCAGCATTGGCGGCAGCGGCAGCAGCAGCAGCAGCATGGCTCCTACGCTGCTCCAGAAGCTTTTTAACAAAAGGGGCGGCGGCGGCGGCTCCGGCTCGGCTTCTGCCGCGGGTCGGGAGCCCAAGGATTGGTCGACGTTCAGGTGAGGAAAGGAAGCGCATTCCGTACCCTGGAAGCATCCTCGGCCCGTGGTTGGGGGCGTGCTCACGAAGCCAGAAGCGAGGCGAGAAACACCCCCCCACCCCGGGGCTGCAGAGGAATTTTTGCTCGCGTGTGGACGCGGGGGG